AGGCATGGTGGCTCATGCCTAGAATCCCAGCACTTTAGGAGGCCCAAGCGGGCTGATCACTTGACCTCAGGAATTCAAGACCAGCCTGGCCAACATGGTGGAACTCTGCATCTACTAAATATACAAAAATCAGCCAGGTGCGGTGGTTCCCACCAGGGAACCCAGCTAATTGGGAGGCTGAGACACCAGTACCAGGGTACTCCCTTCTCTTGATGGTGCCACTTACACATACTTCATGTTCAATTATGAGCAGGGTCCCCTTTAAGCTCCTCACAGCGGGAATTGTGTGCTATCACTGTGTTTCCCCGGTGTCCCCAGAACACAGCTTTGCCTACTGGGCCTCAGAAAACCAGAACCAAATGGAAGTTCAGTAGCCTCAGGCATTTAGACCAACAGACTGGATGCTACTTGTCTGCAGGATCTTATACGGTACAGAGAGGATTCTTGTAAACATGGGTTCAGCCTCTTGCTGAGAAAAACAGGTGGTTCTCTGCCTGTGTCAGAAATCAATAGGTGGGATTGTAACCCCAGTCCCACACCCACCTTACTGCAGATGTCGAAAAGTTGCTAAATACTTTGGCCTCTGTGTTCCATCTTTAACAAAATGTCAAAATACCCATTTCTATTTTCTACAAGTATGGGAAGGATGAAATTAATTTTGATGTAAAGACCGGCTAGTTTCTCTAGACAAGACAGGACCTCATTCATCAGTTTCGTGGTGGTCAACCTATAGAACTTACTGTATGTCTTCAGCTGGTAGTTCAGGAAGTAGGCCACCTGGCTCAGAAGAAGTCTAGTCTTGCTGGCTGCGAAATTCGGTTTGGTCTCTTCCTGCTGGGAGTAGGAATTGTCGATAGTATGTGGAAAGTTCACCTCTGTGGTTTTCGTGGAACAAGTCCCGCCAGATGTCGCCATGCTGACCTTTGGGGCACCACAGGTTGAGCCAGGGACAGGGGAGAAGAAATCCAAACACATGATGGGTTAAAAACTGGAAATCAAATAGGTTTAATGAGGACTGGGGGATGTCAATAACTCAAATTCTTAACTTACTGTTGAGGAAAACTTGATCCTCACAGCACTTTAGGGCCCTTAACCGCAAAAACAAGGTTCGCAATGCTTCAGCTGGGAGCTGAAGGTGCTGCCTGTATGTAGCTCAGACTCTGACAAGAGTGTGGGAGATACTGGCCAGAGTCCCAGGTAACGGCCTGCTGTTGCAATAACAGAATTAGAAGCTGGGCGTGTCATGGAATCTTAGGAGCACTTCATTCCAATTGCCCAGGGTTTGCTAAAACACAGGCCTTTGGTCTTACCTGAGGTCACAACCGTTGGGGACCATTCCTCTATCAGTCACTCTCAGTATTTGTGTACACTTGTGACAATGCCACAGTCCCATCTCATTCCCAATACGACTAAGCACATGCCTCACTTTTCATCTCTTATGTGTATAAAATCATCAAGGCAGAAACAGTTTCCCAACATGTGATATTTTCTTAATGCTAGTCATGAAGTCAGTCACCCCTCCTTCTCATATGTTAAAACAGGATTGAAGGCTTCTCCACAATCTTAACATATCAACCTATTACACTGCCATGATGTCCTCTGACTCTTCTGCAGTTTTTTCTGTATCCACTAGAAAGTGAATGAGTAATTCATTTTTTTAAAATGTTTTCTTTCCTGGCTCAATATTCTTCTTGCTGCATCCCAGGGTTATGCTGATTTATATTTTCTTACTGGCAGATATCACTACACTGATGTTTGTGGCAGAAGAGACTTTTCATTACACTTAAGACCAGTTTGATGTCCCTATATCCAAAGCTTCCTCCATGTGGGATGATTGGTTTTTTTTAATGTGCCTGAACACTACATCTCATTCTTGTCACTTGTAGATGTCGTTCTAGTCCCAGAAGTGCACTTTTCAAGGTGTCAAGTCATCAAAATCATTTCTATAGAGATCTCTTGAAAGCGTATGTGACCATCTATCTTGGGAATTCTGGTAAACCTGATATGATTTTGTTGTTTTCATTTCGTTTGTCCATATATTGAAAATAACAGGACCATGAGCGGTCCTTATGGAATACTGTTTGAGAGATATTTTTCTGAGTTGGCCTAACGCCGTTGAGGTGTGGTTGCATCCCACTAACCAAACACAGCAAGATCAAGGTGATGGTCAGGGGTGATTGGTGGTCCTCCGTGTTGCTGTGCAGTAGAAGGTGAATTTGAGATGACAGGAACGAGTAGGGAAAAGCGATCCCCTGAACCACCTCCTCACTTTCTCAGCTTTCATCGCCACCCAGGTTTTGTGAGCCTGGGACTTGGGAGACTGTTCTGTAGCCCAGGTCTCCTATGTTTGGCTGCTTTCTGGGCTTGCCTGAGTTGAGGGTGCAATGGGTGTGACCCTGGGCTGCCCAGCATTCATGTGGAAGTGAAGCAAGGAGGACTGGATCAATCCCATTGGAAAGCGTGCCTCTCTACAGCCCCCATCATCCTCCAGCAACACTGTAAGCATACTGCTTTGACATACATCAAAGGCTTTAGGTATTTACATGTTCTGGTGTCTAGGAGGCCTGACATTCTGTGGCAGAAGGAAAATCTGTCAGATTTCTTCACTATAAAAATGATGAAACTCCAGCTTCACCAAGTTATGTGGCTTACTTCAGGTCACACAGGGATGGGCTTTGAGCACTGCCAGTAAAAGCAATCACAACAATTATTCCATAATTATTCATAGGATCCATGTCATTCAGAAAATATTCATACAATTATTCAGTAATTATTTGTTGATCAATTTGTACCAGGCATTTTGCTCAAAACTGTGCACATATTTGGACAGCGTTCTTCATCATAATCCTCAAGGTAACGCTGTTCTCCTAAGAATCAGGTAAGAAACCTGAACAAGAGGGCTAGCAAATCATGAATTTGGCCATATTTCCATTTTTTGGTTTCTGTGATGCTGGATGAACGACCAGAAGGAGTCACAGGAAGAGTATTCATTCCTGTGCTATCGTCCAGGACAGAGGGGTGCCCTCCTAGTATATTGGGACCAAAATTCAGAAGTGTCTGCAACCTTGCTTTAACAGCATGGAAAATAACCTCTATTTTCCATTAGACCTGGAATTTCCCTGGACCTCTGGAATATACAAGAGAAGTATGAGACTTGGGTCTTCCCTTGACTGTATTTAATTCTCTCTTCTATGGAATACCAATGATTTTCACTAAGACTTTTGCTTTTTTTCTTTCTTTCATTCTTTTTTATTTTTTTGAGACAGAGTCTTGCTGTCACCAGGCTGAAATGCAGTGGTACAATCTCAGTTCACTGCAACCCCTGCCTCCTAGGTTCAAGAGATTCTCCTGCCTCAGTCTCCCGAGTAGCTGGGACTACAGGCATGTGCCACCACACCCAGCTAATTTTTGTGTTTTTAGTAGAGACAGGGTTTCACCATGTTGGCCAGGATGGTCTCGATATCTTGACCTCGTGATCTGCCCCCCTCAGCCTCCCAAAGTGCTGGGACTACAGATGCGAGCTACTGCACCCGGCCGACTTTTGCCTTCTTATATCCACAGTATATGTTTTATGAAGAAGATTTTGCTAATATCTCTATTTAGAAAGAATAAATATGAGCTATGGTTTAGGTTTTATGCCCTGGACTTACTGTTTCTATGATTTCTGTTTTGAGGTTAAATCCTCATGTAAATAGAAAAATACTTATTACTTATAAAAGCAAATTAGTTATTGGTTTGAGTTTTTGACACTGAAGCACACACTTTTGACTTTATCTTTGTCTGTCCCCATCGGGGCCGCTCACTGTCTCCCAGTATGACCTGGCCATGCCCCTGCACTTACCCTCATCCTGCTCAACCATCTCCATGCACTGTCCAATTCCATCAGTGATTCAGGCTACTCCCAAGGCTCCCTGAAATGGGTACAGGGACATTCAAGCTAAATCAGACACATTCCAGGCACAAAAGCAGCCCATACTGTAAAGCGGGCAGCTGTGTTCTCACCTCCCTGAAGTTGGCAGTGATGTCCTAGGACAGGAAGAAACACTTTCCCTTGTTAGGGGGTCTCTTCTTCATGTCTCAGGGCCTCTGATCTAGTGAACACAACTGTCCTGAATGTGAACGAACTTGCCAAATTCCTGGTTTCTTGCTAGGTGGCTAGAACACATTCATAAGACTTCCTTACTTACCCATGTTTACTGAAGCCTGAATTCTTACCAGTATGATTCCTTTTCTTGTAAGGGGTAGCTTAGGGAAGATTGGCCCCATTGCCATGCAAAGAGAGGTAAAGTGAATTTCTACTCAAAGCAACCTTGAATTTGAAACTAGGTCTTCCACTGTTTCAAAGCTGGCCTGTAGGTCCAACTGTGCAGATATTTGGACATCACATCTTCATCAGAATCCTGAGGCATGTGTCCTCAAGGGCTTGTGTGTCTGCTGTACTCAGGATAAAGTTATTTGTCATTATGGTAAGTTATAATTAACTTACCAGAATATAATTCATTATCAAGATAAAGTTATTTATCATCATGGCAAGGATAAAAAATAAATTTCCCCAGATGTGGCTGATCCTACATTTTAAGTGATTGTTAAATGGGAAGAAAATCTTCCAAAAATCTTTGGAAGAAAATTTATCACCTGTTGTCGTTTGTTGTGTCTCTAACGCAGTAACATCCTCACAGGACAACCGGATAAACAGTTCCCAGATTCTGTTCTTTGCTTCCCTGTATTACAAATATATTTTTTGGACAGGACATGGTGATTTAGCTGTAATCTCAGCTACTCCAGAGGCTCAGGCGGGAGGATCACGGGAGCCCAGGAGTTCCAGACTATAGTGAGCCAGGAGTGCGTCATTGCAATGCAGCCTGGGCAACACAGTGAGGCCCTGTCTCTTAAAAAAAAAAGTAATTTACGGGCCAACACCTTTTTTATTTTTTTGAGACAGAGCCTTGCTCTGTTGCCCAGGCTGGATGCAGTGGCCCCATCTTGGCTCACTGCAACCTCCGACTCCCGGGTTCAAGCGATTCTCCTGCTTCAGCCTCTCAAGTAGCTGGAATAACAAATGCACACCACTACACTCGGCTAATTTTTGTATTTTTAGTAGAGGCGTGGTTTCTCCGTGTTAGCCAGGCTGGTCTTCAACTCTTGACCTCAAGCCATCCAACCGCCTCAGCCTCCCAAATTTCTGGGATTACAGGCGCGAGCCACCATGCCGGGCCAAATTCCAGGCCAACACCTGTTGACACACATTGCCAGACACAGATTCTGGAATCCCTCCCGGAACACCGATGGGCCCACAAAACACTCGGAGGCCCCGGCAGCTGACGATGTTAGCAAATTGGGTTCTCAGTGTCTGGGGTACAGCCCCGAGGGTCCCCTGCACAAGTACCAGTCTCTGCAGCTCCCCTCATCTCCACGCAGATTCTTCCCCACACACTTCCCCTTTCTTTGGGCCGCTGACGCCTCTTGGACCTCTCAGGTGACTGCCCGCCCACAGCTTCTCTCCTTCCGGGAGCTTCATTTCTTGATCTTCACCATTGTGGCTCAGCAGGAAGCCCAAGGTCCAGCACGCGAATCAGGAACCTGATGGTTTTTTGGGTTTGCAGGGATCCGCCCAGAAAATAGATGAAAGTAACAGGTATCAATGTCAAAACTGCAGTGACTCGCCACACATACTTCGTATTTGCCACTTTGCTAAGTGGTTTGTTGAATTCAACAACTGCAGGGGCCCGGGTTAGTCTCCTAAATGTTTTTTGGCACGACCTTGGTCAATTTACTTTGTGGTGATGAAGCCTTTAAATGCAGTTAGTGTATGCAGTATAATTTTACAGGGCAGAAGGGTTAAAGGAGCCATAAGGGAAGTGAGCTCAAAATCTAACCGCATTGGCCAGGAATTGAACCCAGGTCTCCCGGGTCTCCCACGTGGGAAGCAAGAATTTTACCACTG